TGGTGGGTTCAAACCCGGCCCCAATCAAAATAAAAAAAAAAATAGGCATCTAAAAGATGTGTGGTGATATCCTATTTTTTTTTCTTTTTTGGAGACAGATCTTGCTCTGTTACCCAGACTGAAGTGCGGTGGCATCATCATAGTTCATTGCATCCTCAAACTCCTTGGCTTGAGCAATCTTCTCATCTCAGCCTCTCAAGTAGCTGGGACTACAGGAACGCACTCAGCTAATTTTTAATGTTTTTATAGAAATGGAGACTCACTATGTTGCTCAGGGTGATCTCAAGCTCCTAGCCACAAGTAATCCTTCTGCCTTGGCCTCCCAAGCTGCTGTGATTGCAGGTATGTGCTAGCCTCTTACTGTGGTTTTGATTTGCATTTTCCTGATTATTAGTGATGTTGAACACCTTTTCCTGTACTCGACCATTTGTATGTCTTCTTTGGCAAAATGTCTATTCAAATCCTTTGCCCAATTTTAAATCCAGTTTTTTTTTTTTTATATTGAGTTGTGGGAATTCCTTATATATTTTGATATTCACCCCTTATCATTCTGGAGGTTGCCTCTATTAATTGCTTCCATTACTGGTGCAGAAATTTTTTGGTTTAATTAATCTTACTTATCTATTTTTTGCTTTAGTTGTTTGTGCTTTTGGTATCATATTCAAGAACTCAGAGCCAGGGTGTGGTGCCTGTGGCTCAAAGAAGTAGTGTGCTGGCCCCATATACCAGAGGTGGTGGGTTCAAACCCAGGCCTGGCTAAAAAAAAAAAGAACTTATACCCTGATGTCACTAAGCTTTTCTTCTATGAGTTTACAGTTTTGAGTCTTATATTTAAATCTTTAATCCATATTGAATTTATTTTGGGGTACAATGTAAGATAAAGTTTCAATTTAATTATTTCTCATGTGGATATACAGTTTTCCTAGTACCATTTATTGAAGATACTATCCTTTCCCCATGTCTATTCATGGTACCATTGTAAAAGATTAGTTGTGAGTTTGTTTCTGGGCTCTCAGTTCTGTTCCATTGAATTGTCTCTTTTTATGCCAGTATCATACTATTATACTATATGAGGTCAGACAATTAAGTTATGAGCTCATCCTAGAAAAAGTGCTGCATACTTCATTGCTGAATATCACTATGGTCACCTTTGAATTACTCCCCTTGTCTATCCAGTAACTGTAATGATATTCAGCAATGAGGCATACAGAACTTTTTCTAGGCTGACTCTTTTTTTTTTCTAAGACAGAGTCTCAAGCTGTCACCTTGGGTAGAATGCTGTGGTTTCATAGCTCACAGCAACCTCCAACTCCAGCTCAATTGATCCTCTTGCCTCGTTTTTTTCTATTTTTAGTAGAGATGGGGGTCTCACTTTTGCTCAGGCTGGTATTGAACTTGTGAGCTCAAGCAATCCACCTGCCTTGGCCTCCCAGAGTGTGAGGATATTCTGACTTCTGATATTCAGACCTCATATATACTATATTTAAATGTTTTTGTAGAGGGTGGCACCCGTAACTCAGTGGGTAGGGCACCGGCCACATACACGGAGGCTGGCGGGTTTGAACCCGTCCCGGGCCTGCTAAACAATGACAACTGCAACAACAACAACAACAAAATAGCCAGGCGTTGTGGTGGGCACGTGTAATCCCAGCTACTCGGGAGGCTGAGGCAAGAAAATCACTTAAGCCCAAGAGTTTGAGGTTGCTGTGAGCTTTGACGCCAGGGCACTCTACCAAGGGTGCCATAGTGAGATTCTGTGTCAAAAAAATTTTTTTTATTTGTAAAGATGAGATCTTGTCCAGGATGGACTCAAACTTCTGGTCTCAAGCAATTCTCCCACCTTGGCCTGCCAAAGTGCTGGTATTACAGACATCAGCTCCCACACCCACCTGTAATATATTTTGAAATCAGAAAATGTGATGCCTCTAGCTTTGTTCTTCTTTCTCAAGATCACTTTGGCTATTTTGGGGTCTATTGTGGATTCATAGACATTTTTGGATTTTTTTTCTATTTTGTAAAAAGCGTTGTTGGGGTTTTTTCTTTTTTTTTTTGAGATAGAGCCTCAAGCTGTCACCCTGGGTAGAGTGCTGTGGCATCACAACTCACAGCAACCTCCAACTCCTGGGCTCAAGCAATTCTCCTACCTCGGCCTCCCAAGTAGCTGGGACAGGTGCCTGCCACAATGTCCGGCTATTTTTTGGTTGCAGCCATCATTGTTGGTTGGTGGGCCCAGGCTAGATTTGAACCCGCCAGCTCAGGTGTATGTGGCTGGCACCTTAGCCACTTGAGCCACAGGTGCTGAGCTGTCATTGGGGTTTTGATGGAGATTGTATTGAATCTGTAGATTGCTCTGGTTGTACAGACATTTTAAAAATATTAAGTCTTGGCTCGGCGCCTGTGGCTCAAGTGGCTAAAGCGCCAGCCACGTACACCTAAGGTGGTGGGTTCGAATCCAGCCCGGACCTGCCAAACAACAATGATGGCTGCAACTAAAAAATAACCAGGCGTTGTGGTGGGCGCCTGTGGTCCCAGCTACTTGGGAGGCTGAGGCAAGAGAATGACTTAAGCCCAGGAGTTGGAGGTTGCTGTGAGCTGTGATGTGACGACAGTCTACCCAGGGTGACAGCTTGAGGCTCTGTCTGAAATAAATAAATAAATAAATAAATAAAAGAAAAAAAGATAAAAAAACAAAAACAAAAGCAAAAACAAAGCAATATATATATCTTGCTGAATACTGCCTGGAGATCACCTGGGCAACAGGTGATCTTCTGGGGTATGAGATGCTAATCACAATGCTGATTCAGCTATATAAGATGGAGACAGGAGACCTCTTTGGGCTACTTTTGCCCTCTAGCCCCACAGAGTTGAGAGCTTGATTCTCTCCTCAGCCCACTTAAAAGACTCTATAAACTGTGACCCTTGGCTAAGCAGAGGCTTTCCCAGGAAAGCACGGGTTGCTGGGATTTCTCCTGAAGGGCTGCCTGCTTATCAGGCACGCCAAACCAGCCTCGCTTATTGTCCCTCATTATTAGAGAAATGCAAATCAAAACCACCCTGAGATACCATCTAACCCCAGCGAGGATGGCCAGCGTCACAAAATCTTAAAACTACAGATACTGGCATGGATGCGGAGAGAAAGGAACACTTTTATACTGCTGGTGGGACTGCAAACTAATACAACCTTTTTGGAAGGAAGTATGGAGAACCCTCAAGGAACTCAAACTAGACCTCCCATTTGATCCTGCAATCCCATTACTGGGCATCTATCCAGAAGGCCAAAAATCCTTTGATCATAAGGACACCTGTACTTTATTGAAGCTCAATTTACAATCGCCAAAATGTGGAAATAGCCTAAATACCCACCAACCCAGGAATGGATTATCAAGCTGTGGTATATGTATACCATGGAATACTATTCAGCCATTAAAAAAGATGGAGACTTTATATCTTTTGTATTAACCTGGATGGTTATTGCTTTACTCTTATTATGAATGTACATGAAAGCCTGCAGGTACTTGCATATATAATAACACCCAATATCAGATATGTGTGTGCCCCATGGGTCAACTGTTTGCTACAATCCTTCTGAACGCCCAGAGCAAAATGAATTTACTATGTGGTATACTGATATCCCTAGAAAGACAATAATCTTCTTTATAACAGAAGGAATACCTAAACAAGTAAAAAAAATGATTAATAACAATTTTGAAATATATACAGATGTGTCTTTTTATATTTTTAATAATAATTAGAAAGTTTCCATGTAAAATACTATATGTTTCTGAAGAATTATTTCTATGTATTTCATATTTTGTGTTGTTATGTTAATTTTAATTCTCTAACTGTTAATGGTATACAGTGGATATTTGTATATTGAACTAAAAAAATAAAAATAAAAATAAAAAGAATGGGGGAGAGAGTTTTGCAAGTTCCCACCCAAAGGGAGCAACACACTGGTATATGGCACACTTCCCGGGGTGAAGGAAACAACTACAACTCAGACTTTACCTTACAAATGCAAACAATGTAACTTAATGATTAAGTCTGAAAATAAAAAGGTTTTTAAAAATGAAAAAAAATCAACCTCATTGGATCATAGATCTAAATGTAAAATGTTGAACCATCAAACTATTAAAAGAAAATATAGAAAAAATATTTGTAACCAAGGATTAGAAAAAGAGTTCTTAGATATGACACCAAACACAATGATCTATAATAGAAAAAATTTGATTAAATTTAATTCCATCAACATTTAAAACTTTTGGCTCGGTGCCTGTGGCTCAAGCAGCTAAGGCGCCAGCCACATACACCTAAGGTGGCAGGTTCGAATCCCCAGCCCGGGCCTGC